TTGGAGGTTGCTGTCTTTGGAAAACATGCACTTTGGGAACAACATGCTTCTGACGCTCTTTAGCTCTTTTCTTTTGAAGTCGCCTTCGAAGAGTTCCAGGATTTTGGGTAGAGAACTCTGGGTGGGCCACCAAGTTTATATGACGACAATGTCTAAATTAACTATGTTTATAGAGGCAGCATTTGCACATGCCTCCATGCCTGTCTACGAGATCATGCCCCCCGTGCCTCCATAAAGAGACATGGATTTGCTGCTTTTGTTCCTTCTCTAGTGTCCAACAAAGGTCTTTAGATTTCTTCCTCCTTTTTTGACTTGGTAGATGCGAAGGTATGGTGTTTCTTATGCCACCTCCCATGTTATCCTTGTGGCTACAAGGAAAATCTAGGAATTTTTTGTGAAAAACACTTTGAAAAGAATCATTATTTTTTGAATATGACTTACAACATGTTGGACAACATGGTATGTCTCTTGAGTGTCCTTTGATAATGAGTCTACTAGTTGCTAAGGTGGACTAGGCTTGCACACATGCTTTTGTTGTAGCAGCATTAGTTGGACGTTTGGATTGGCATTAGGCTGCAATGACACAAACCTTGCTGCCTCTTTAGTTGTAGCTTTGTGAACCTCATTAACAATAAGGCCTTGCAACTTTTGTTGTTCAATTTGACTAGGTTACCCTCCAAGACTAGAAATAACTCCCCTCTTTAGACTAATGATTTTAAAAGGATATTTCATCTTCAACCATTGTCTATAGTTGAACTTGGAAGGGCTTCGACCATTAAGAAAGCATGGTCCCCACAAACACTTCTTAAGCAAGGCAGAAGGAACATGCTCGTTAGTCTCAAAAGAAGTAGAAATAGATGAGGTGGATACCTTATCAGATTTATATACTGATGCTGGCCAAAGTGTTGGTTTTTGTGTAGCAGCATCAACTTGTTGTTGGCCATCAAATGGACCTTCATTGATGGATGGCTGACACGTCTGCACATGAGCTGGTTTATGCCTCCCAAGAGTAAGAGGACTATTGCTAGTATTATTCTTTGCAGACTTAGAGTAACTTGGAGGCATACTTGTTGAAGTCGCCTCTATAGCTGCATGGCGTTGCTAACTTTGGGCAGCACGCTACAATTGTGATTCATGCCCTCCAAGTGTGCTGGTGGGGTTACTCTCTGACTCTAGTGTCGTCTGACCTTCATTTACAATTGGCATCTCTGTCACGTTTTACGCCTTGCAAAACTGCTTCAAAGTTCCTGGAGACGTGGCTGCATGGCACTTCTTTGAATCCTCTATTAAAATCTCACTTTTGGGTTAAGGGGTTTTAAATTCTAAAAGATTTAATTTGCATCCTTTCAAATTTTCCTCCAACCTCCTCATGCGTTCCTCAAAAAGCTTTTTAGATTTCTCAACAAAATCAACTATTATTTCAGCAAGTGATTTAGAAGACTCACTGCCCACTGTTGCCTTCTCATCATAAAGTGGATTGACATAAGAGGAACTATGTGGCGGAGTCATGAAGAGCTTTTGGCAGTCATCAAAATAAGGACTTTCCATGGTGGCACAATCTAGTAGTAGAAATTTTTATCAACAAACTTGTGAAAGCCCACAATGGGTCCCACTAGGTGTGCCAAAAAGAGATTGTTGTTTTCAAAATCTCCCTTTTGAGCCGCGTGGCAGATAGAACTACGAAGGCGTGCCACTCACTTTGCTCAAAATGAGAAAGAGGGATTCTTGGTGACCTTCACTGCTTTCAAGCATGGAACTCAGCTACAAGTCAATGGAAGAGCACCAATTAAATAAATTATGAGATGCGCCCTGGTCAGACGATTGTCACAAAAATGGGGGTGCATTCTTGCATAAAAGTCCATAAATAATTGCCCTAAAAGAACATCAGGGACTTCCCACAACTAGGGCCAAAATGTTAGTTTACTGATCAAAATAAAAGAGGAAAATAAAGGAAAGGAGAAGAAAGAGAGTGCATGGCGAGAAAAGTAAATTGCAAAAAGAAAACGTGATACCACTGCGAAAGCATGAAAACATAAAAAACATAAAAAATGAAATAAAAGCTGAAGCGTAAAACTAAACTTAAAAGAAGCTAGAAAGATGAATTTGGGGCAACATGTAGTAAATTGAATTGCAAAAAACTAAATA